TTCCTCCTGCTATCAGAGAAATATGTAGTATTTTTTTTTTGCAACTTTGTAAGGTGGTTTGTAAGGTTCCCCAGCTCCCTGGGGAAATCTGGGAGTTGTAATCCCAAAAAACCCAGTCTACCCACCTCTAGGCAGGGGCTCCTGTACCTTTAATAGCTGCATGGAAGAGGACATGTCAGAAGTGCAGCTTTTAATGCAAGGTACAGCTGCTCTTATTTCCTGTTGCAAGCAATTGGTAAGGGTACTCAGCACTGGTTAGGCTTCGAGAACTGTGTGTCCGGTTCTGGACACCACACTTTAAGAAGGATGCTATCAAACTGGAGCAAGTTCAGAGGAGGGCAACCAGGAGGATCTGGGGACTGGAACCCAAGCTCTAGGAAAGAACTGGGTGTGTTAAGCCTTGAGAAAAGAAGGCTGAGGGGAGACATGATTGCATTCTTCAAATACTTGAAACATAGTCCATTAAAGGAGAGGCAGGATCTGTTCTCTGTCATCCCATATAAAGGAGAGGCAGGATCAGTTCTCTGTTATCCCAGAGTGCAGGACATGTAATAATGGGCTCAGGAAGCCAACTTTAGGCTGAATATCGGAGAAAACTCCAGGAAACCAACTTTAGGCTGAATATCGGAGAAAACTTCTCAACTGTTAGAGCTTTACGACAATGGAATCAATGACCTCAGGAGGTGGTGAGCGCTCCAACACTGGAGGCATTCCAGAGAAAATGGGACAACTCTCTGTCAGATCTGCTTTGCTTTGGATTCCTGCCTTGAGCACAGGGTTAAACTCACTGGCTGTAGAGGCACCTTCCAATTCAATTAATCTATCATTCCATGACTCAAAAAAAGAGAGATACATTTTCCCAGCCGGAAAATGACCTCAGTAGGCGGTGAGCGCTCCAACACTGGAGGCATTCCAGAGAAAATGGGACAACTCTCTGTCAGATCTGCTTTGCTTTGGATTCCTGCCTTGAGCACAGGGTTAAACTCACTGGCTGTAGAGGCACCTTCCAATTCAATTAATCTATCATTCCATGACTCAAAAAAAGAGAGATACATTTTCCCAGCCGGAAGATGGCTTTTCTCTGTACAGTACATTTATCTGTGGATATCTCCAAGAAACCTGACATTCTCCAACTGAAAGGAAGGCCAATGTTGAAACATAAATACTGGCGCAAACTATTCTGATTTTGATCCATAGCATACCTTATGATGGCAGACCCCCGTCTTTATCCATCATTTCCAGACAAGGTCACTACAAAGAGGCAAGCCAGCTCTCTTACCTCATGATTATCTTTCATTTGTCTTTCCTCCTCCTCACCTTCTGTTGAGCCCCAAGTCCGTGATTATTAATGGCGTGTGTGGTCTTCATCCTGCCAGGTGGCAGGCCGGGTCGCGCTGTGTGTGGGGCTCGTCATGATGACAGAGGAGCAATTTGGTATAAATGTTCCACTCGTCCAAGCCGGTGCTTCGTTTCCAAATTCTACAGAGAGGGAAGAAGAATCCTGATTACGGGGAGAGATGCATTCCTGTTGCAGAAGGAACGCTCGTCTTCATCAGCAAATAAAAGAACAGGGTTGGACTGGAAATGTCAGATCTTGACTTTGGTTCGTCCTTGGCTGGGAAATGAGGAAACACACAGACACATCTTGCTTCATTGATTTATTAGGTGGGTGCTTGGCAGAGAGGCCTTGATACAAATGAGAACATGGCCCTCTGTCATCTTTGTACTGTGTGCGATTTTATTGATGATGATAATGATCATCCTGTTACAGAGATGCAGATTTCCAGATAGAAGCTCCATTTTGTTGCACAGTAGAAGTACGATGGTTTTTCCCAGTAGCGATGTCTGGAAGTGAGAGTTGGACCATGGATGCCGAAGAATGGATGCTTTTGAACTGTGGTGCTGGAGGAGATGCTTGAGAGTCCCCTGGACTGCAAGGAGAACAGAGCTATCCATTCTGAAGGAAAGCAACCCTGAGACAGATCCTGAAGCTGAGGCTCCAATACTTTGGCCCTCTCATGAGAAGACTCCCTGGAAAAGACCCTGATTTTGGGAAAATATGAAGGCAAGAGGAGAAGGGGACGACCGAGGACAAGATGGTTGGACAGCGTCATCGAAGCAACCAACATGAATTTGACACATCTCCGGGAGGCAGTGGAAGACAGGGGGGCCTGGCGTGCTCAGGTCCATAGGGTCACGAAGAGTCGGACACGACTTAACAACTAAACAACAACAACTACTACATAGATCTAAAGAGGGAGAATAGCTATAAGTTCCCCAGAGACCACCCCTTCCCCATTAACTGGTATTTACAGTGTCACAGTCCAAGATATCTGAGGCAGCCCCCCTCCGGGGGCAAGGACACCAGGACCAAGTCCACCACACAGGATATCAAGGCCAAAGGCACTCACTGTGTTGTTGGTTGTGACCAAGTGGAGGCAGGAACACGGGACTGGGAGCACGGAACCAGAACAAGACACCAAGATGTAGGAGGCCAGCAGAGACAAGAAGAGGGGCAATGCAGGAATACTGGAACACAGGGACTCTGAAGCTCATGAGCCACAACACGGCCAAAGACCTTTGTTGCTGAAGCCAGTTCTGGGAGGGAGAACCACTCTTTAAATAGGTCTTCCCTCCAGCTTCCCAGGTGAGCTTCATGAGTGGCCCAGCAGCTGCTACACAGGCCAGGGCCTGAGTCTGCAAACACCAGGCCCTTCCTGGGTCAGGCTGGCCCTGATCCTGCAGCCGCGAGGGCCAGATCTTGACATACGGGCTCAATAACTCACTCTGAAACACTGGTGGAAGAAAGAATGAAACAAAATTATCTACCTACGGTTGCTTGGAATGACAAGCCGCTTTCTTTACTGCACACATATCGGCAACAAACTGAACAGATCAACAGCAAACAAACCGTTGCCACCAACCCAGGAAGGAGAAGGAAAGAACACTCAGAAAAGAGATGGGGCTGTCTCTGAATTTTAAGGTTTGAAGCATAGTCAACCACCTTCCTCCCAGTCACATAAAACTACAGACAGCATGCGAGGTTGCAAGTGAAACCTGAACACATAACGAAGGGATTTTATGCACATTTTTAAAGAATGCACAATATGAGCAAATAGGCTAACAGTGGCCGTGCTGTATGGACTTGTAAAAACAATAGCACTGGATGGTTAGTCTGTGTCTTTTTAATCAATCAGCTGGCTGTTTCCTGTTTTCTGTGCCTCTGTGGGTTTAGTAACTCAATGGGAGGAAAATGTTTAGGCCTGTACAGAGGTGTTTTGTTCAAGGGGGAAAAAAGCACAAGGCAAAAAGACTGCTTTGTGTCTCGATCTCCCACCCGTTCAATTTGGAAAACCCCAACGCATGATTTTGGAAGGAAGGATTTTGGAAGGAAGCCTTGTTGGCTTTCCTACAAACCGATGTGCTTTACCTGTGATCCCATTATTAAATGTCATTAAATGTCCATCTTTTGCATGCCCCCCTCAATTGGAAAAACCCTGGACTACCTGGCTGAAGGCTTAATTCGTGACTTAATTAAGAAACCTGGTTGAAAAAGGCCACTATGGGAATTCCGGCTACAGGGAGATCAAGCGGAACGCAAGACTCAAATAGAAGCGAGGGGAAGGGAATCAGGGGCTGGCATCTCCACCGGACAAGACCTTCCACGACACCATTTTGTTGCAGTTCCCAACGGTCTCATCTACCTCCGTTCACGGGATTTTAGATTTTTATTGAGCCGTTTTATCGTCCCCTGGTTTCTCGTTGCGGCTTTCTTAACGCAGCCCAGATGGACAGAACTGGATTAGCAAACCGTGTAAGAAAGCCGGAATTGTTTCTCAGGATCTGCTGCGTTGCATTAATAGTCTAAAGAAAAAAAATCACAGTGGATTAACAGGAGATTGGGAGTCATTTCCTGTAATATGAAGGGTATAAAAGGGAACCAGGGCATCTGAGATCTTATAGATAGAAATAGGAGCAATCTTGTTAAATCTTGTCCTGACTGTCATGCCTTTAGCCAATAACCAAGCTTCCACTGTCCTGTATTGCCGAATATTTTATTCTGGGCTCTATTTACATCACAGCTTGCTTGTGGTCCCACGGTCAGTCTCCTCCTCTCAATTTATTTATTTCTTTTTTGGGGGTGCATCAGAAATGGGATCTGCCACTCAAAGAAGCCTTGGTTTCTCCTTGGGAGCAACAATCAAAGCCACTTCTCCCTGCCGTGTCAAAAAGACCAGTTTTTTAAACAGTATGCATGTCATCTGGTTTCTTTCTTTCTTCGCCACCGTTCTCCCCATCGGGTGTTGCAGAGCTTTGAATTTTTGGTTAAATTTGCAGAGTTTTGAATATTTGGTTAAATTCCTCTAATGGCACAGTAGGAGTGCAGGGTTTCACGGACCAGAATAGCCCCCAGAGGAGTCCACACATTTTTTTTCCTCATTAACTGGCTCTTGCAGGCTCAATAAACCACCCAGAGATATTAGTTGTAGAAACAATAGAAATGTGTGATTTACTTACAGCGAACAGAACATACAGCAAAAAAGAAAATGTGACTGCTTTCAGTAGCAAACCACAACAAACACTAGAAAAGCTCTCTGCAGAGAGGCAGGAATCACTGAATTCAGAGCCAAGGAAGATATGATTGGTTAATGCTGGGTAAATTGGCAGGTTGGGTTTATATATATGACTCCTCATCTCCTGTTAAGCATATTCCCCTATCAGGGGATTCGAACTCCCGACCTCGGCCTCTGAAGACCAAAACAGCTGCCTGCCCCTCTGGCTGGGGAAAGCCACAGAATCTGGCGGGAGGGGGCGGGGCTTCCCTTTTCTAATTTAAATACACAATACAACCCGCTTTTCTGACTCTGCCAAAGGGGAGGCGGGGAAACGCAGGCCCCGCCCACACGAGGGCAGAGGCGCGGCGCCGCGGGGTTTGAAACCCGCCTTGCCCATAGCTAAGATGGCGCCCGCTTTGCCTCCGACGCGACGCGACGCAAGAGGCGGGGCTTAGCCGGCCTTTCGGCGGGAAACCGTCATGGCGGCGGTTGCCATGGAAGTGGCCGGGCCTGGCAAGCCGGAGGAGAAGCAAAGCGGGGGTCCCGCGGCAGCCACCTCCGCAGCAGGGAGCGGACATTATGAGTTGCCCTGGTGAGGAAGGGGTTTGCTATATCTGCACCCCCCCCAAGAGTGGGTGCAAGTGGGGGGCGCGGATAGGGGACTATGGCCGCCATGGGTTGCGGGGCTGTCAGGCATGAAACAGGGGCTTTTGGGGTGTGTGTGTGGGGGGGAAGGGCTTTATATGGGGCTGGTTATTTGGGGTGGGGGGATGGGGGGGACCCCCGCTCCGTGTGGTCTCCCTCCCTCTGGTGGCTTATCCTTAGCGCCTTAAATTAGCTTTAACTTAAATTTATGTCCCCTTTAAGTTAGACTTGCCTTGCAAGTTTATGAGTTGGGGTAGGCTGGTTTGCCGGGCCATTTCTTGGGGGGCACAATCTGCCTTGGAAAGGAGCATCACAAACAGCTATAAAGGTGCGATTTTGCCAGGGCACAGGTGTACGGTGTGTACTTGTCCACCTGTTGCAAACAAGAATAAGGAACGAACTGGAGATTTAATTAGAAGGAGACACAGAGAGAGGACTGATGATTGCAAATAGGTGGGGATCCAAGCAGAACGTGAGATAATTTTTTCTGGGTTACAAATCTTAGAATAACCCAGGAAACAAACTTTATGAAGCCCTAGATTGTCTGGCATCCCTTGAGGAATGAGATGGGGGAAGGTATTCCTGGAATATTGTGAAAAATAAGCTAGTATTGATCATCCCTTTAGGGTGGCCACTGGCCGATGATAAAATTGTTTTTGCAGTAGCTTGGGTTGATTTCTCGGGCTCACTCCGCAAAGGACAGCTAGCCTGCTTATAAACGATAGAAGGGTTAAGCCCGTCACTACGCCATCACTTGCGGAGATGAAAAGAAAAATAATTGCTTTCACAAATTATTGCTCTCTAGTCCAACAAGTAAGGCCCTGTCCTTCATTTATACCAGTGGTTCTTAACCTTTGTTACTCGTATGCTTTTGAACTGCAACTCCCAGAAACCCCAGTCAGGACAGCTGGTGGTGAAGGCTTCTGGGAGTTGCAGTCCAAAACTTCTGAGTAACCCAAGGTTAAGAACCAAGCTTAATTTATACCAAGCTTAATCTCTGAACAATGGGCGTGTATGTACATTGCACAGTTACAGCAATTTGGTATTGCTGTCAAGATCATGGCTTCATCCTCTGAGATCTTGAGATGTGTAGTTGGGTGATTTACTCAAAAGTCTTGGTTGAATAGCTCTTGTTCTCTCTTCCAGACCACAGCAGAGGTTTCTAAACTCAACCAATCTACTAATCCCAGTGGTCTGTAAGATGCAACTCTACAATGTCCACACTGCTCTGAGGTCTTGGGTGCGTTTTCCCCTGCTTTCACTGTGCAAAGGGGACATTTTTATGTGTTTTGTGTACTCTTTTGGATTCAGGGTGGAAAAATACAGGCCTACGAAGCTGTCGGAAATCGTTGGGAACGAAGATACCGTTAGCAGGTTAGAGGTACGGAGGTGACTTTCATGCAAGAAAGAAGCTGCTTTGGGTCAATGGCATTTTCAGAAGAGATTGTTTCTGGCATTTGGTAGAGAGACTTTTATTTTGGTGCCCTTCCACCAGCCCCAATGTGTGCTGTTCATGGGTATCTAAATCAAGTGTAAGAGCAAGTGCGGATCTTGACAGACTTTAAACATCCTAAAAGAATATCTGCTCTCATATCAGCCTGACTAAGGTCATGTGCCTTCTGACCTTCCTACCACTGAGAGAGATTGTAAATGGAAGGTGTTTTTACCCCGGGTGCTAAACCGCAGAAGCCTGTGCTGCAGGGTCAGAAGACCAAGCAGTCGTAAGATCGAATCCACGCAACGGAGTGAGCGCCCGTTGCTTGTCCCAGCTCCCGCCAACCTAGCGGTTCGAAAGCATGCAAATGCGAGTAGATAAATAGGGACCATCTCGGTGGGAAGGTAAACAGCGTTCCGTGTCTAAATCACACTGGCCATGTGACCACGGAAAGATTGTCTTCGGACAAACGCTGGCTCTATGGCTTGAAGAGCGGGATGAGCGCCGCCCCCCAGAGTCGGACACGACTGGACAAAAATTGTCAAGGGGAACCTTTACCTTTACCCTTTACCTTTGCTCCTCTTATGGAAAACTGCCACCTGACTGCCCTAAATACACCTAGCCTCAAATAATTGGAGATAAGCAGGGTCAGGCCTGGATAGCAGTGGGAGATCACCAGAAAATAACAAGGGATCTCCAGATAGGGCTAGGAAAGAATCCGACCTGAAACGTCAGCCTCCTCCCAGATCTGTTCCAGGGCGCCCTGTTAAGTGTCCAGAACAGATCTGTATTATCATGTCTGGGCAAGTGAATAAATGTCATTTTGTGACCCTCTTTTATGCCAGGTATTGGAAAGTGGGTGAGACACCTCTATAGTGCCTGCTACAGATCCCAGCATGCAGCTGAAGGAGTTCCTGTTGGCTCCCATGCCAGTCTCCAACAAACTAGTTTAAAAAAGTTTACAGCTTAGTAACTTCTGTTGGTTTTTCACCCAAATGAAAACAGTATGCAAAAACAAAATTAGGAAGAACATTGCCGTTTGGGGGCATCAAGCGAGCCTCAGGCCTAAGGACACAAGCTAGGTTTCGTAACTGTTAGAGTAATACGACAACGGAACCAGTTCTCTCAAGACATGACAAGCGCTCCAACACTGGAGGCATTCATGAGAAGATGGGACGGCCATCAGGCTGATCTTCTTTGATTCCTGTATTAAGCAGGAAGTTGGACCCAAGGGCTTTATAGGTTCCTTTCAACTCTATGATTCTGTGATAAACCATTCAAAAGGTTCTCCCTTCCCTATTTCTGACGGACTTAAACCTTGATGTTTCTTTTCCTAGGTCTTTGCAAGAGAAGGAAATGTCCCAAACATCATTATTGCGGTGAGTATTGTTAAGATCAATATACTGTAGTACCTTCTTGTAGAACTTGATGTAAGGTGAACACTTAAGTCAGACTGGAACAAGAGCTGAAACTGCATCGTGGACAGATGGTTTTGAAAGCACACCGAGGACGGTTTCAGTTTTAGAGATGTTTGAACCTAAAGGAACGTGTGTCACAGTTTGTTGAATAGGCTGGGCTAAAATGAAGTTTTTGCCTTCGAAGGGTCCCCCAGGAACGGGTAAAACCACCAGCATCCTTTGTTTGGCGCGCGCCCTTCTGGGCCCTGCGTTGAAGGATGCCGTTCTGGAGCTAAACGCATCCAACGACAGGTGAGTGGAAGGAACTGAAGTCGAAATGGGGTTAAGTTTTGGCCATTCAACAGTTCCAAAGGGTGATTTGATTTCAGGGGAACTGCTGTTGTGATGTCCTCAATAGCCCATCATCTGTCTGTGCCTTGCCTGGGGGTGGGTGGGAAGAGTGTTGGCATCCATGGGGAGGGCCCGGAAGTGATGACCCCCCCCCCTCAGATACTACAATCCTGCTTAGTGATCTAGATAGATCATAGGTCTAACTCTGAATCCTTATGCTTTCACAGGGGCATCGACGTGGTGAGGAACAAAATCAAGATGTTTGCTCAGCAGAAGGTCACGCTCCCGAAAGGCCGGCATAAAATCATCATCTTGGATGAAGCTGACAGGTGAGCGGATCTGTCTTCCGGCTTCTCTGTCCTACAGTAGGCAGAGTTTGCTTAGCCCGATATGATTAACATAATTATTGTTCTTGTTATTATTTTGGCTGGCCTTATACTGTAAAATGGTGTTTCGTACGGAGATGATGAAGGCAGCTGATGGAGCATAATGGGTGTAGTGTTGGACCAGGACTGCGAAGATCTGGGTTCAAATCCCAGCTCGGCCATGGCCTTTGAATTGCTGGATAGCTCAGCAGTTGAGATAACTGGCTGCAAAGCCAGAGGTTGGGAATTTGATTCCCTGCTGTGCCACCTCGGCAGGGGCTGGAATCCATGATCCCTAGGAATCCTCTGCAGTTCTAAGAGGAGGAGGATTAAAATCACTGGGAGTGACGCTGATAACGTAGCAGCAATAACACCACACCTTAAAAGATCTCACATACTTTAGAAATCCTACTGGGGTCACCATCAGTCAGAATCAAAGTGATAGCATGTAACAACACCAGTAAAGGCAGACTCGTTCCAGATGTAGCATCTGCAGACCGCAGATATTTTAGAAGTCTTTGGCGGTTAAAACAATCTTGCATTTCCCCGTATCTTTGAACTAGCATGACCGACGGAGCCCAGCAGGCCCTCAGACGGACGATGGAAATCTATTCCAAAACAACCCGCTTTGCACTGGCTTGCAACGCTTCTGATAAAATCATAGGTAGGAGCTCTTAGCCGCGTGGGTGCTGGGCTGAAGGGGGCGGGCGTCCCTGGGTCATTTCAAATCACCTGTTTGATCATCAGCGTTTCCACTCTCATCCCTTGGAGTTTGAAAGAAACAGAGGCAAGCCACCCTGATGAATGGGAAGTCTGAAGGGGAGAGCTTGCCCGCTTAGCAGTAGTCTCTCCCTGCTAGGAAGAATCTGGATTTTCCAGGGTTGCTCCTTCCATGTGGAGCCTACTCTTGAGTAGCACCCATCTTTTCAGACATGTTTTCATCCACGTGAAAAGCAATGAAAGAGGCGATGGTGATAGTAGGCAGCGTCTGCCTAGATCCATCTCTAACCGGTTGCTGAGATCTACGGGGTAGTTTGGGATTTTTTTGTAGGACTTTTCTGGTCAGTTACGTAATGATCTTGCTAGTCCATCCCCATCAGACAATGTTGGGGTTTCCATCTTTTTCCTGGTAGAAAGAGCAACTGAAATAGTTTTACATCAATGTTGACATAAATGATATAATAAATGAATAGTCAGTGAAATGTGAATAAGTTAATGATTAGTTCTAGATCCTCTCATAGAACCATGGAGTTGGAACTGGCCTATAAGGCCATGGAGTCCAACCTGCTGCTCTGCTCAATGCAGGGATCCAAGTCCAAGCAGATCCAGATAGAGGGTTGTCCAATCTTCTCCTGAACGTCTCCAGCGTTGGAGTGCTCACCCCCTCCCGAGGTCATGGGTTCCATTGTCGTACTCCTCTAACAGTAAAGAAGTTTTTCCTGATAGTCAGCCGAAATCTGGCTCCCTGTAGCTTGAGCCCATTATTACGTGTCCTGCACTCGGATGAAGTGAGGCTCTTTGTAAATTATATCCAGTGGCTTTCTCTCCCTATACAATACAAGCCTAGCATCTAAAATAGTGTTTCTCTTTGCATAATGCTAAGAGATATGGAAACAGCGTGCAGTAGGTCCTAAGGGGTGAGGCAAAATTGCTCCACCCTCATGACCGAGCTGGTTGGCCTTGTTGTTTGTCTTGGTGAAAGACGGCTTCCCAAAACAGACGGGGTCTCGACTCCCTCTCCCCAGAGCCCATCCAGTCTCGCTGTGCCGTCCTCCGCTACACCAAGCTGACCGATGCTCAGGTCCTGGCGAGGCTGATGAGGATTGTCGAGAAGGAGAACGTGCAGTATACAGACGATGGGTTGGAAGCCATCATCTTCACTGCCCAGGGGGACATGAGGCAGGTGAGCAGAGAAGCAAAAAACCCTTGTCACTTTTCCTCCCAGCTTTGTTTTTTTTTTTTTGTTTGTTTGTTTTAGAGAAGCAGAAAACCCTTGTCACTTTTCCTCCCAACTTTGTTTTTTTGTTTGTTTGGCCCCCTTGATGGATGGAAATTCCACCTAGGTTCTGCTATGCGCTCTTATCAAATGTAGCCTTTTGTGAGCCTTTCCGCTGGGTAACCTCAAACCTTGAGGGATGAAGCACAAGCAAAGCAGTGAAATCAGATCAAAGCAGATCTGACAGAGGGTTGTTCAGTTTTCTCTTGAATGCCTCCGGCACGGGAGTGCTCACCCCCTCCCGAGATTATTGGTTCCATCGTTGTACTGCTCTAACACTATAAGACTTTTTCCCCCTAATATTCAGCCAAAATCTGGCTTCCTGCAATTTGAGCCCACCATGACATGCCCTGCCTTACGGGATGATGGAGAACAGATCCTAGTCCTCCTCTGTAGGTTAACCTTTCAATGATTTTGAAATGCTCTCCTATCTACCCTCAAGTCTTCTTTTCTCAAAGCTAAACATTCTTGTGCTTACTGCTCCTTGGACTGTTTTGGGGGTGGTGTTCTGAAAAGTTTGTAAACCATGATTTGAAAATACTGTCGATCTGTTTTCAGTTGTCCTCTTTCTCTCTCCCCTCATCAGGCACTGAATAACTTACAGTCAACCCACTCTGGATTTGGCTTTGTCAACAGCGAGAACGTGTTCAAGGTCAGTAAAAAAAAAAGCCCATCTACTTTCTGTCTTTGTGTTGACCTGTTTCAAAGAAAATTCTTCAAGACCTCTTGGTTTCTTCGAGTTGTGTGGAAGTAGAGGTTTTGCCCAGCCCCACTGCTTATGCAGGGTGGAAAAGCCAGGGCTACCGAAATAGGTGTTTCGCCTGCCGGGTATTGCTTTTTGCTCTTCCTGAAACAGATGTAATGAATTTAAGCTAAGAAATGAAACAGGGACCTGGTGCCTAGTGGGTCGAAGCTTGGCTACAGATCCATAACCATTTCATATGATTTTCATTGTTGCGGCTTTTGGCTTCCTTTCTCCCAATAATCCTTCCACGGTTATTATTTCGACAGGCTGAGTTGTTTCATTTAAAACATCCTAGATGCTCCCCCCTTCTCCTACTCCAGATGCTCGGGAGAGTTTTAGTTGGTGGAGAAGGGTGACCTTGAATATATTGTCCATGATGTAAATAGTGGTGGGGCCTTTCTGGATTCCAAGGGGCCCCTGCCGTTCCAAAACGAGTCCGTGGCTACAACGAAAACCATCTCTTCCCTGGTTCTTGGTCTTGAGATGCTGGAGAGGATTAGAGAAATGAGCTTTTGCCTTTTCCCGCAGGTGTGCGATGAGCCCCATCCTTTGCTGGTGAAGGAAATGATTGGCCACTGCGTCAGCGCAAACATCGATGAAGCTTATCGGGTGGGTGTGAGGACTGGTCATTCTCTGACCCTCTTCTTTGTTTTCTGTCTGGTTCTAGCAAATGGGTTGTTTTGCGTGCAGGCCTTGCAGAGGCACAGACCGAAAAGGACAGTTGCGGTCAGGGTTGAGACCCCATTTCTGTCACACAAGATGTATCTGTTCGATACCGCTTTAGCCCTCCAGCTTCTTCCTAAGGGATCCTGGAGTTGTCGTTCGCTGAGATGCTTAGAACTCTTTGCTGTACGAGTCGTACGTTTTGGACTTCCACTCCCAGAATCCCTTCTCATGGACCATGCCGGCTGAGGCTTCTGGGAATAGCAGTGCAAAATCTCAGGGCGGGGGAGATGAATCATGCAATCATAGACTAATGGATGGGACCTATAAGACCATTGAGTCCAGTCCCCTGCTCAAGGCAGGAATCCAGATCAAAGCAGATTTGATGGACCGTGGTCCAGTTTTCCAATACGTATTTCTGGGTCTTCCCCCTCCTTTTACCATGCTATATAGAGCATTTGCTATTATCCATGATTTTCAGCATCTGCGGGGGGCTTGGAACCAATTACTTTTATTTTAAATCTGTGGTGTCTTCTTTGTCTAGATCCTTGCCCGAATCCCTTCTCATGGACCATGCCGGCTGAGGCTTCTGGGAATTGCAGTGCAAAATCTCAGGGCGGGGGAGATGAATCGTGCAATCATAGACTAATGGAAGGGACCTATAAGACCATTGAGTCCCGTCCCCTGCTCAAGGCAGGAATCCAGATCAAAGCAGATTTGATGGGCCGTGGTCCAGTTTTCCAATACATATTTCTGGGTCGTCCTCATGGACCATGCCGGCTGAGGCTTCTGGGAATTGCAGTGCAAAATCTCAGGGCGGGGGAGATGAATCGTGCAATCATAGACTAATGGAAGGGACCTATAAGACCATTGAGTCCCGTCCCCTGCTCAAGGCAGGAATCCAGATCAAAGCAGATTTGATGGGCCGTGGTCCAGTTTTCCAATACATATTTCTGGGTCGTCCCCCTCCTTTTACCATGCTATATATAGCATTTGCTATTATCCATGATTCTCAGCATCTGCAGGGGGCTTGGAACCAATTACTTGTATTTTAAATCAGTGGTGTCTTCTTTGTCTAGATCCTTGCCCACTTGTGGAAGCTTGGCTACTCCCCCGAAGACATCATTGGCAACATTTTCAGAGTGTGCAAAACCTACCAAATGGCCGAGTATCTGAAGCTGGAGTTTATTAAGGTTGGTGGTTGCCATAATCACTGCGATCAGCCGAACCACTGGATTGTGCTATAAGAGATGGTTGAGAAGGGAATTTGCTGGCTTCAGAGATGCCGATTGCTCAGTTAGTCTACACTTATTTTATTTAAGAGGTGCCCAGGTCGTTTTCTCCGAGTAGTGAAGAAAACTGAAAAACACAAGGTGACCAATAACTGCACTATTCTTATCAAAAACATAGTATTAGAGGCAATAAAAAAGTTCTCTTTTTGATCCATCGTGGATCATAGTCCATTCACACATGCAGATCATCTTGGCCTGTGTGTGTGTGTGTGAACTTGCCTAGAACCACTTTGTAATTGGCTGTGCACTTAACTGGAGCAGAGGCGTGTCTGAAAGGCTTATGCGCAGCACGAACATACTCCACATTGAAGGAAAACAGCCACCATGACCAAGGCAAGGGACAACTTGATGTACAGGGATCGCCTTTCATAATCAAGGAGTAAGGCATAGGGATGTGGTGGCGCTGCGGGCTAAACTGCAGAAGCCTGTGCTGCAGGGTCAGAAGACCAAGCAGTCATAAGATCGAATCCACGCGACGGAGTGAGTACCTGTCGCATGTCCCAGCTCCTGCCAACCTAGCGGTTTGAAAGCATGCAAATGCAAGTAGATCAATAGGAACCACCTCGGTGGGAAGGTAACAGCGTTCCGTGTCTAAGTTGCACTGGCCATCGCGCAGCACGAACATACTCTGCATTGAAGGAAAACCGCCGTCATGACCAAGGCAAGGGGCAAATTGATGTACAGGGATCACCTTTCATAATCGAGGGGTAAGGCATAAAAGGTTCTACAGGACGCTGGGCGGTTTCTGGAAATTCTGCTACCTCCCCTCTGGCTTCCACATCCGTGATTCACACGTTGTAAAGAGATCTCTCGCACAAGAGGTAGAAACTTTAAAAAATAAAAAACACCCAACACTGGGATCATGACTCAAGAAAATGAATTGGGTCACATGTCTTCTTAGGCTGTGCTGGGAGTTTGTCATCCGTAAAACACAGATCTGCTTCCTTTGCTCTTTCTCTGGCCAGGAAATCGGCTATACCCACATGAAGGTGGCAGAAGGGGTGAGCTCCCTCTTGCAGCTGGCGGGACTGCTAGCCCGGCTGTGTCAGAAGTCCGAGGCTCCCACGGCGACCTGACCAGAGGGACGTGGACCTGATGAGAAGGGAAGGCTAGAGGGGGACTTCCGCTGCCACATGGGCTTCCGTTCGCCCTCATGGATCTAGCCGCAAAATGTTTTATTTTCTCATGCAACTTAATAGCGTTCACACACACACTATTTGGACCAAATAAAGTTTGATACAAAAAAAAAACAGATACCAGCGGAGTCCTTTTTGTCACTATTAATAAAGATAGCCCATGGATGTGTGTTTCTTAAAATTGAAAATTTTAAGATGTGTTTATTAAAATTGAAATTGAAAGCAGTCATGGTAACTAACCAGACATAAGCCTCCTGTTACAAGCATTGCTTCCTTTCTTTCTTAACTGTGTTTCTGAGTAACCCCCCCCCCCTCCTCGGGCAGAGGACTCTCCCAACCTTGTGTATAGTGAATCCTCAGTAGGTATTTGCTCCGGTCCAGGGAATTAAATGCAGCCGCCCCAGGTCCTGCTTCCTTCCAGCTCGGGGTGAATTCAGCATTTATCACTCGGCAGAGCAGTGAGGGACCCTATGCAGCCAGGACAGGCTGACCTCAACTCCATGGCTTCCTCACATTACTTCTAATATTTCTATCCCATCTTTACTCCCAAGGAATTCAGAGGGCCTGGCATCCGCTCTGCTTTACCCACCCTGCAAGGTGGGTCCACTCAGATTTAGGAATGTTCATCATTCCTCAATAAATAACCACCACGTACTGTCAAGTCACGTCTGACTTATGGTGACCCTTTCTAGGGGGTTTTCAAGGTAGGCAGTCCTCGGAAATGACTGGCCATGGCTTTTTTTCTGGGGGCGCCCCTGGGACGGTGCAGCTGGCCCAAGGCCACCCCCTCCTCGCAGGAGGCACGGTGGGAAACTGAACCCACTTCTGGCTCTGCAGCCAGGTATCTAAACTCACTGAACTATCCAGCCAGCTTAGCTACTCGACCAGACAGCAAAGAACTTAGGACTTCTTTCCTGGTTGCATTCATAGTTCATTTTCCTGCTGCCGGGTTCAAGGTGTGCGGTATTTGGTCTCCTCTTCCTCAGGGTACCACTACATCAAGCCTGTGAAGTATCTCAGGCTCAAAAAGAGTTGGAGTTTTGTGGCACAGTAAGGAGAACACATCTCTCCCCAATTCTCAGCCCCATACCTCTTACGCACAACACGATCTGGACACTCCTGGAGAGACCCAGCGGTGTCTTTTAGGTCCTACATCAGGTATACCTTGGGCAGTAATGACGGTAAAGCACCCTTTTGACACTGCTTAGCAAAAACAAACGAGGAACGTGGGCTCTTGCCCTAAAGTTCTTTGAGGAAAGGTAGTACTTTAAAAAAGAAATACTGTATAGAAAGTTTGTGGAACGGGCGATGGAAACTTTATTCTTTGCCATCCCAAACATTGATCGCTCCTGGAGGCAAGGGAGAGTCGCAGTGTTTTGTTACAGTGCCATACTGGTTTTACTGGAGCCACTGGCTGCCAGTGAGATGTTGAATTTGCAGATCCAGCAGTCCCCAGGGAAGATCTGTGACTTTTGCTGAAAGGCCAGGGGGCCCAAAACATGTTTTTTTTTCCTTAATTTCGTACAAGTACTTACAATATGGCCTAGAGAGTCCCCGACGGGTAACCGCCCAAAAAACATAAGCAGAGGTGCGCAGGTTTTGTGGTTCAGAATTCCAGCTGTGCTAATTTGAGAAACATCTGTAAAGTTCAAGAAGGAAACAAGTATACCGGCTAAACACCTGGTCACGCACGGTGCAGAAATCTTGGTGAGGAGCCCACCTCTCGCCACCCAACCTCCAAAAATGTCAGATAGTGGACTTTCTTTGTGAGATGACTTGTTTGCCAGCAAGATGGCCGGTACTGTGCCTCTCCTCAGAGTTAAAAGGATGCGATCCTTCACAGAAGCCTCTTCACCATAGGTTAGACAGTCCTAAAGGAGAAGTTGCACAGAGACCATTATTGAGTAGCATCGCAGACCTGGAGAAAGCACTAAAGCACCCACCCACATACACAGATAAGGCTTCAGCTTCTGCTGGAAAATTTCCACAGACAACCCAATAACCTGGGTCATTGGTTTCATTGCAAAATGGCTCTTGACCAAGTTATTCTTTGTATGAAATCATAGAATCATGGAGCTGGAAAGAGCCTCGTTAAGGCCATCACGTCCAGCTTCTCGCTCAGGGCAGGAATGCAAATCAAACTGGAACCAGTTCAGAAGAGGGCAACAGAAGAATTAGGAGACTAGAAACCAAAGAAGTGTATGATACCACCAAAGCAAGGGCTGCTTCAAGAAACAAGGGATAATTCAGACAAATGATAACTATGTGCTAGATATAAGATACCCCTTTTCAGATTTTTAAGATTAATTAAAAACTAATAGAATCACAGAATAATGGAGTTGGGTTGAGTTCAACCCCCTGCTTAAGTAAATCTGACAGAGGGTTGTCCAAATGTTCTCTTCAGTCCCTCCAGCACTGGAACACCCACTACCTCCTGAGGTCATTAGCTCCATTGTCATACTGCTCTAACAGAGCAAATCTGACAGAGGGTTGTCCAAATTTTCTCACTGGAACGCCCACCACCTCCTGAGGTCATTAGCTCCATTGTCGTACTGCTCTAACAGTTAGGAAGTTTTTCCTGATATCCAGCCAAAATCTGGTTTCCTGTAACTTAAGCCCATTATTACGTGTCCCACACTCTGGGATGACAGAAAACAGATCATGCCCCTCCTATCAAATCTGACAGAGGGTTGTCCAAATTTTCTCACTGGAACGCCCACCACCTCCTGAGGTCATTAGCTCCATTGTCGTACTGCTCTAACAGTTAGGAAGTTTTTCCTGATATCCAGCCAAAATCTGGTTTCCTGTAACTTAAGCCCATTATTACGTGTCCCACACTCTGGGATGACAGAAAACAGATCATGCCCCTCCTATATATGACTCCCTTTCAAGCATTTGAGGGGTGCTATCCTGTCTCCCCTCTTGTCTTCTTTTCTCAAGGTTAAACATGCCCCGTTCTTTCAATCTTTCCTCCTAGGGCTTAGTTTCCAGTCCCCCATCATCCTTGCTTCCTTCCTTCCTCCGAACTTGCTCCCATTTGTTGGCATCCTTCTAAAAGTGCAAAATAAATTTATATTTTGTAAAAAATCTACAGCACCAAGCTTAGAATTTGAAATTTTAAGTGCCAAGTGTCAACCATTGTTAAGAGCGTTTAAAGCAGTAAATTAACAATTTCATTTCGGATCTATCCTCCAAGATTCCATGATCTCTCACGTTTCAAATCATGGACCTTTTGTATAGATATACATACCCACGCTGAAGAAAATGACATTTTCTATGACCTGGGATAATCCATTAAAAACAAACCAAAATCCTATTGTAAAAAAAAAATTACAGGCCATGCTATAGGCCTATGCATGGTAATTTCTCCCCTCTCGTGGGCTGGTTGTGTGCTCAATTTCACTACCAGTGTGTACAACCAGCTGCATGCAGGATAGATCTTCAGAATAGAGACACTGCTTGCTCAGTTCCCCTCGGATAACATATTTCTCTAAAGGGTTTTGACCTTATGTTGATCATCAAGGCTGCACATTTCTCCGTCAGCAATGGGAAGAGACAAGTGTGTCTGTAGAATTACCTTCTCTGTGGATTTTCATTAACGTAGTCTGGTTCATCATCCTCAGAGGAGTGTCCTGGGTTAAGAGAGACCATCCATGAACAAATGACTGGGGCTGAGGGGGATGTCTCAATTAAGAGTGACCTGGAGCAGGTAGCTTTAAGGTCACACAGAGCTCTGATGTCATTTGGTGCCATCATGGCACTCACATAGCATACAAACCCCAAAGGACCCCCTATTTGGCCCACTTCTCTTAAGAAGAGAAATAAAATAAAGAGAAGAACAAGAACAAAACAAAACTCCCACCCCCTCCTCCTTCTGGGAGGAAGGTTTCACTTTTTTGATATTTTTTTCTAATAGGCACAGCACATCAGCACTGCTCTAGCACACTTTAAAAAAAATCTTTTACTTCCTTCCTCTGAAGGCCAGGAAACTTTCTAATCTCCCAGTATCAGCAAGTGGGTAAGCTTAACAATACTGGGCAACTGAAACCAGATGACAAATTTAAAACAACCAGGTCTGCTTGGGTTCAATTACAGCGACTGCATGTGCTGGAATCAAAGCACCTCAACAAGAATCTAGGATCACTCGCCCAAATTGTGCACAGTTCCTAAGTTCGAAAACAATACCATCCATCCTAGGGATGGTTCCATCCACCCCACTGGGGAAACCCCCAGCAGGAGGGTCTCCATCTTATCCAGGTTCAGTTTCGACCTGTTACTGTAAGTCTTCATCTAATCCAAAACCATGGCCAGTCACAACTCAAAGAGGTGATGCCAGCTTTTAAACTTGGCTCTATCTCCTTGGAGAGATCAACTAGATTACAGATCCATCTCTTGCTACACTCATTGCTCCTTTCCCTTCTTAAACATTTTCATATCCAGTTGTCGTTTTGAGCTGCATCTAAAGTGATCAGAACTCTTCCGTATGCATTCATTCATTAAAAATATTTTCACCCCGTCTTTCTCCTAAAAGGACCCCGGGCAGCTTACATCATCAAAAGGAGACAATATTTAAAAGCTAAACGCAGGACGCATAATTATCTTTTTAAAAGAACTAAACAAATATTAGATTTAAAATAGTAAAGAAAATTGAAACTAAAAATAAATTGGAAAAACAATACAGCACAACTATTGTTCCAGAAAGTTGCAAACAAGTTTTACTGAATGTAGTTTTTGACTAGGCGTTTTTATCTAGATCTAAACCACTGAGCTATCCAGCCGTTCTCCTTCTAATTCTTCTAGCAACCCATGCTTTCTTTAATCTTATATGTGGTAAGTGGACTTACTGCAAATGGGCATTGCTTCAAAAAGTCTATCAGAATCCAGCCAGCCAACCAGGCCACGTTTACCTTGACTCTGTGAGTGTTTCCACAACTGGATTATTGTGCTGTTCTCATAGACCTCCACGTTGGTTGAATCTGTGGAAAAGAAAGAGGCTCCAGTTCAGATGGTGAAGCTATCCACACACTGCTTCCGTGCAACTTTTCCCCCCAAGCAATTATATTCATTAATATATTTAAGAAGTATTTCAAGTACATCTTGGAAGAGCACCCTGCCTGCAGTGGAGGGTGGTGACTCCGTGGAGGCTTTTGCTGGACGAGTAGATCATCTCCAGATTCCAGAAGTGGCTGTCCAAGGTCCTGAACCCATTTTCAGAACAGGGTTTAGAACCGTCGTTGTTCCCAACCTTAGGTCTCCAGAGGCTCTTGGACTGAAACTCCAAGACGACTTAACCGTTAGCTGTGCCGGTCAGGATTTCTGGGAATTGTAGTCCAAGAATATCTGGAGGACTCAAGTTTGGATGGAGACCTCCTGTAAAGGTCACTCTGAAACCTGAGGCATATCCTTTGATTCACAAAAACTGGAAGCATCAGATGCTGCTGGTTCCACACAGATTCACTCTACACTGTGTGACGTCCTCTTTCCTCTCTACCCTGTTGCTCCTGCCGGCCAACCTCACTAGATGACCCACTTGGGTCACAGGAGGATGAGAGAGGAAGAAAAGCATCTTCTGTTCACCATCTCCCATGTCGTTAAGTGTAACTCAAGTTGCTTCTGACTAACCCTTAAAACTGGGCGTTACTGGCTGGATAACTCAGTGGCTTAAGTGTCTGACTGCGGAGCGAGAGGCTGGGAGTTCGATTCCCCCCACTGTGCCTCTTGGGAGGAGAGCCAGCCTGGGTGGCCTTGGGCAAGCTGCACAGTCCCAGGGATACCCCCCACCCACAGAAAAAGGGAATCATCAACCCTTCGGAGTATTCTCTTTCTGGAAAACCCTGAAAAAAGGCTGCCGTAAGTCAGAATGGATGGGACGTGATTATTATTAATAGGGTGTACAGCTATGGGGAAATATTTGAGGAGTTGTTTTATATCATTGCCATTTCCCCCAACCCGCTGCTGTGAGTTTCCATGGCTGAGTGGCAATCTGAACCCAGATCTGAGTTCTAAGCCAGCACACTATTGACGGCACCACACTCTGTCTGTCTTTTTACTTTCTCTCTCCCGGGCCCCATCCAGAGTCACAACAGGGATCACCTATGATGGTTCATTGCATGGGGGCTTGTAACATTCAGCCAAATGTTGGGAGATAAAAAAATAAACAGAGAGGCATCTCCCAATGCACAGAACGTACCCCATCTGTTGCTTCCGGACGGCCCGCTCACGTTTTGATACGAAGGGGAATCTTCGTCTGAGACAGAAGAAAGCACAAAAGTGAGACGGAAGAAGGCAGAAAATGGAGATAGTGGCCAAGGAGGAAGGGCATGCTCCTTCTCCGCTTTTCCCAGTCAACCTGTGAGATCTGCTATAATGCCATAGCAAAGGTTGAAGCGGAAGAACGGGAGGATGCTGGAGGTACCCAAACAACTATCCCTCGGCAATAGGAGGGGGGACCCAAGCTGTCCATATGCCAGGTTGCCTCCCACCTTCCCTCGAACCCGCGCCTCTACGAAAAGAGACGCTGATCAACCCATTAATCAGCTGAAAAGAACTCCCACCTGAACCCGTTGAAGGTCTTAAGAAATCTTGGGTGCTGCAATAATGATCCGTAGAGATGGGTTGACTAGGAAGGAGGGAGGGAAGGAAAGAAACTATAAGGGTTTGATGGAATAGGAGGCAGGAATTCTCACCTTGAAAGTATTACTTTGCTGGGAAAAGCATCAAAGTTGAGATGAAACAGTGGGACCCCAGCATCTGAAGGGGATCTGTTCCCATTTGTCCTCCGCTTACTTCCATGTGTAAGACACCCCTCAATTTTTAGTGCAATGATTTTAGGAAAAAGTAGTCTTATACATGGAAAAAGTATGATCTTTTCAGGATTTCTCTTTTAATATTTTCAAACCGCTGATAAATGAATCAGTGGTTACTGATTCCACAGATAAAGGGATCCTACGGTACCGGGTTGTTGAATAGGATACTCCACGTGGATCTCTGGGTGTGATAAAAGCTGGACAGAGAGGAGTAGCTCCACTCTGCTGGCCAACCCTCACAACTATCGCAACGTCAATTGAAGAGCATCAGTTGGCTTAGCCCACACTGTCTCCAGACAGAAGAGCAGGTGAGGTTTCCGCCTCTGTTATCTTTTAAGCTAAAGTTATCACAGCTTCCTCTGGTAAAGCTGCCTTCCATCCATCTAGTCAAAACGATCTACGCTGGGATTGGATATTTTTGCTAGAACGCTTTTGTGAGAAATTGCAATCGCAAAACAATGTTTTAATGGTTTTTTTTCTGCTTTGCGACGATCGGTTCCCTGCTTCGGGAGCCGATTCGCATTACGACGATCAAACAGCTGACCGTTGGGTTTTCAAAATGGCCGCTGGCTGCTCAAAATGGCTCCCCGCTGTTTTTAGGAGGCATTTTTTGCTTAACAGGCACCCAAAAATGACCGCCGTATGGAGGATCTTCATTGGACAAGCAGGTATTCAGCCCATTGGAATGCATTGAACGGTTTTCAATGCATTTCAATGGGCTTTTTAATTTCGCTTTATGATGTTTTTGCTCTACAGTGATTTCACTGGAACGAATTAACGTCGTCAAGCGAGGCACCACTGTATTGAAAAAAAGGGTAATCTCTACACCACAAATGTGCCATAGCATTCACTCAGCTTCGGGAAAGATGTTTTGCAATGAAAAGTCCCGGAATTTCCCCAGGCAGGGAGGGGCCAAGCTGGCTGGGGGTTGCTGGGAATTGTAGTTCAAAACCACTGAGCTCCTGAGCTCCACCTAAGATGGGTGTAGGACCCATATCATGATCGTAGAATGGCAGAGCTGGAAGGGACCCTATAGGACCATCGATCCAGTCCCTGACAAAGAGGCACTGTGGGGAATCGAGACCTTATGAGACCATCGAGTCAAGCTTCTGTCAAGGAGGCACTGTGGGGAATCGAACTCCCAACCTCTGGCTCCACAGGCAGATGCATAAACCACGGAACTATCCAGCAGTTCTTTTGACCCTCTGGGGAAAAAGAACAGTCTTTGAACCTAAAGGGATGAGGAACATTTCCAAAATGGCGGCTCCCTCCAAAGCCAGCATCTCCCAAAGACCATCGAGTCAAGCTTCTGTCAAGGAGGCACTGTGGGGAATCGAACTCCCAACCTCTGGCTCCACAGGCAGATGCATAAACCACGGAACTATCCAGCAGTTCTTTTGACCCTCTGGGGAAAAAGAACAGTCTTTGAACCTAAAGGGATGAGGAACATTTCCAAAATGGCGGCTCCCTCCAAAGCCAGCATCTCCCAAGGACTGACTTACATGTAAGCCGTGTCGAATTCCGTTGGCATTCCTGCAAGGAAAATGTAGTTCCTGTTGGTTAAGAGTTCATGAAGAGAGGAGAGGAACTGATTCCTTTTATTACAATTAAAAGATCAGACAGAACCACCAGACACGCCCAACATGGGCCTGCTCCCGGAATCCTAATTCTATTTTTTTTTTTAATCACCAATTTCTGTTTTCATTTTACACGAAAAGCCACCTTGCCTCCTCTAGTCTTATTAGAGGAATGGGGAAATATCATCCAGGGCAAGGATGTATCACTGGAGGCCAAGACCATCCACACTCGTCTTATGGTAAGGATGTGTCATTGGAGGCCAAGACCATCCACACTCGTCTTACTGATCACCATGTAGAGATGAGAAAGCTGGACGGGGGAAAAAATTGTTTCAAATATAGAGGAGAGCTCTGCAGATACTCTGAACTGCCAGAAAGACAAATTAGTGGGTCTTAGATCAAATCAGGCCTAAACTATCTCTGGAGGCAAAAATGTTGTAACTGAGGCTAAAGTTTCAGTACTCCTCGGCATCTCCTTTCTTGGGAATTGCAGTGTATATTGAGCATTACCAGGCTACGGACCACTGTTTAATTTCTCATATTTGTTGGCATATTCTTGTTAGGATTTTGACAAAGTCAGTTTCTGTGGCTTGAAATATTTTTACCAGTATTCCATCTATCCCTGGTGATTTATTTCTTCCTAATGCTTCCTAGTGCTTTCACTTTTATTTCTAAAACTGCAGGTTCTTCATCATAGGATTCCTCCTTCAAAATAGACTACCACCCTTTAATCTTTTCTGTATACTGTTTCCATCTTCTCTTTATTTTCACTCTTTATATTCACCTTTTCTTTATTTTCTTCACACATGGGGCCCTGGAAACAAAATGGGCATGCTTTTGCCAGGGAAGAAACTAGCAAAGCCATGTTGTGAGCTAGCCTTTCAGTTCAACCTACTGGACTCTGTGAATATGTCGGTCTACAACGTCTGTCATGGTCTTCTAAGATTATGGCAACAGTGGTTGAAAGGGGCTGGATCTGCTCTGATTTTCTGTCATTTGGATGTGAAGCAGGAAGAAACAAGCACCATTTTTTAAAAAAGAAAATATTATTATTATTTGCCAAGAAGCTCTGAAATTGCATACGTACCTTTCTCCAAATTCTGATACCTGGACTCAACTCTGCTCTCTGTAAAGGAAGTTCATCAAGCATTACTGTAAGCCTTCAATGTCAGCTAAATCTCCAGTTTCAGAAATCCCATTGGTTCTGGAGCATAAGACATTAAAGCCAGAAGGGGCCCTTAGAGGTCACTGAACCCCATACCTTGCTTAATCTTACACCTGTCAGAGCATCCCCTACCTAAAGTGGTCCACAGCCTCTATTTTCTCTTTGCAAAATAAGAATAATCCATCCATCCACTCACCCATCCATCCCATTCTCCCAATGAAGGAACTCATCTTGACAGCCCAGTTTGGGAGGAAGAGAAGGTGTTCAAACATGGACCTGGGATCAAACCTTCAGGTCCAAAACCCTCATGTGAGTCCCAACGAGAAAAGACCCATCTAAATAAATAGGATTTACAAAACTCCCACCGACCTTGGGGCAGTGGTAAAGCAAAGACCGAAATGGGACAAAACACCCTCGACTAACAGATTTCTTCCAGTGTGAGGAGGTCTGTGGAATACAATCTGCTTCCTTAGAAATCATGGAGTACACTGTTAGGGTATACACACTGGGTAGGTGGTGGTGGTGGTGGGAATAGATGTTGAAAATAACATTATAAAACACTGGTCATGAACTTCCGAAGCAGCGTTATTAACCCAGGTTATGGCGTTAAAATTTTTGACTGTAGAAACATATTGTCAATAGACAGAGTGATTTCTATCAGCTGGTAGACCAGGGTTAAGCGGCTGCCTCTGAAGCATAGATGCAAAAATTATTCCTGCACTCAGGAAGTGGTTTGCTTCTATGCAACTCTGCACAGAGAGCAGAACATCTTGGTCGTCCCCGAGACACGTTTCTAATATAGGGTATCTATAACGGGGAACCAAAGTAAGGTAGCCGGAAGTGTTTTGAAACCATTAAAAATACTTACCAAACTGTCTTGGTAGCGAAGGTTGTTTGGTGCTTTGGCTGAAACGAGGGGGGGAAAAAGCAAAGCTCAAGGGGATGGGTTTAGGAATAGAACGATAGAATCATGGAGTTGGAAGGGGCCTCTAAGGCCATCAAGTCCACCCCAAAATCCAAGTTAGTCTATCTGATCGATGGTTGTCTAACCTTCTCTTCAATCCCTCCAGCACTGGAATGCCCACCCACCCCCTCCTGAGGTTGTGGGTTCTGTTGTCGGACTGCTCTAACAGTTAGGAAGTTTTCCCTGATCTCCAGCCAAAATCTGGCTGCCCGTAACTTAAGCCCGTGATGACGGGGTCCTGCACTCTGGGATGACCGAGAAGAGATCCTGCCTCTCCTCTGAGTGACAGCCTTTCAAGGCTTTGAAAGGGGCCACATTTTTCTAGGTCTATAACTTTGCCCTGATCCCTGTTAAGTTTCATTCTGTTTTCAGCCCCATGTTCCAGCCTTTCAAGACCTTAACTGTTCCACCCACTTTTGTGTCAACCACAAATCTGACAGGGAGGACAACGTCTACCCATCCAGAAGGCCATGAAGACAGCAGAATTCTTTCCTCTGTTTTAAGCCATGGTTTCCTAACCTTGGGTCTCCAGATGGTCTTGGATTACAACTCTCAGGAGCCTTCACCACGAGCTGGGCTGGCCAGGATTTAAAAAGCTGGCCCTTTGCCTACCTCTTTGAGGGCCAGTGTCTAGAATTTTATTCTGGCCTGTAGTAAACAGCTGTGCTTTTGTTGGAAATGGCTTTGTTCTGTACAGCACGCTCTGAACGACCCATACATAGGCTGGGAATATTAACTGGAATAGCTGGTTGGATAGCTTGGTGGTTTAGGTCTCTGGCTGTGGAGCCAGAGGTTGGGAGTTCGATTCCCCCACTGTGCCTTTTGGGAGAAGAGCCAGCCTGGGTGGCCTTGGGCAAGCTGCACAGTCCCAGGAATACCCCCCAGAAGAAGGGAATGGGAAACCCCTTCTGAGCTGGTTGGGCCAGCTGGTGCTTTAGGATCTCTGCCTATGGAGCTAGAGATTGGGAGTTTGATTCCCTATGGGGCCTTCCTTGGAGAAGAGCCAGCCTGGGTGGCCTTGGGCCAGCTGCACAGTCCCAGGAATACCCCCCAGAAGAAGGGAATGGGAAACCCCTTCTGAGCTGGCTGGAGAGCTCAATGCTTTAGGCTCTTCTGCCTATGAAGCCAGAGGTTGGGCATTTGATTCCCCCTACTGTGCCTCTTGGGAGAATAGCCAGCCTGGGTGGCTTTGGGTGGGGCCTTCCTTGGAGAAGAGCCAGCCTGGGTGGCCTTGGGCCAGCTGTACAGGGCGTTCCCAGAAGAAGGGAATGGTCAACCACTTCGGCATTCCCAGAAGAAGGGAACGGTCAACCACTTCAGAGTATTCTGTACCTGGAACATCCTGAAAAGGGTTGCTATAAGCCAGAACTGACTTGACAGGACAGAATTGTTATTATTAGGCTGAGAAGGACTGAAAAAAAAAAATAGATGGAAGGACAGATGTACGTACGTATGTCCATTCTTTTAAATTTCTTAGCTGTCTTGGAAGCTTCTGATAAATAAATCCATGCAGGCAGATATTGTGCAAGCTGCAGGAAGCAAATTCTAGTGGCCTGCAGTTTCCCTCAAACCTCATGGAAGCTACCAGGAGCCAGAGTTGATCCACGCATACAATGTACATTATAGACAAACATAGACCTGTAAATACAGACACACTCACACTTTGGCACACCAATCATTTATGACAATTGGCTTCATCCTACCTTGGCCCTAGCTTGCTGTATGGGGCTTTCAGATATTCTTGTCTTGATACTGCAAAATCAGAGACAGAGAGAGAGAATAAATTAAAAAAACAAGTGGCTTGTTGTTTTTTTAGAGACAGGAGAAAAAACATTAAAACCCTGCAAAAAAAACAAGTGGCTTGTCTTTTTTTAGACAGGAGAAAAAACATTAAAACCCTGCAGAAAATGTTGCTTCTGCTCCCTGCAGCGGAAACGAAGCTCATCAAACCAGACCGATCCAACCCAGAATAAGCATCTGCCTAACTAAAATTTAATGGTGGCCAGCAAAGCAAAGACATGGCGGTTGGGATGTGTTCACGGCACGTTTCCTTCCTGACGTCCAGGCTTTTTCTGAATTCTTTGTAGCACCCAACCAAGACGGATGAGCGCAAGAGGCTGGGGTGGGGTGGGGGGCTGAAATGCTGCACAGCCAGCTTGAGCACAGAATCAGGATTGCACCCTGGGGAGCCCCACAGGAAGCAGCCTTCTACCGAGCCACAGGACTGCCCTCCCCTTACCCAGTCATGTCAGCGCCGGCTGGAAGCAACAGAACACCAGGCGGATCCTCTTCCAGATCCCCTTAGATTGAGTCTGGGACCGTGCGTGGTGATCATTCCCCACTAATGCCACCTAGGGAGTCTCAATCATCCCAAGGCTATGCCTTAGCTTCCAAAACCACATGAGATTGGCATGTCCCTGCACTCTCTGACCCACAGCTGCCACCCCTTCCACGTCTCCGTCCTCTCTTGGACCACCGTACGTGGCAACTTTCATCTCACTGGCTTGCCCACTGCAGAGCCGAGAGGATCCTTCTTTCAACTTGACATCCAGTGCTGTCAAGTCACTCTCAACTAACAAGTCTTTCACTGTCAGTGAGATGTTCAAGAACTGGCTTTCCACTGCGGGTTTCAATGGCTGAATGGAGATTTGAACTCGGATCTTCTTCGTCCTAGTCTGAAGCCCTAGCCCAGTGGTTCTTAACCTTGGGGAACCCAGGTATCCTTAAGACTGCAATTCCCTTTTCCAAGACCAGCATCTCTTTACTCGAATAAGAGTGTGGCATCTCGAATCTCAGGTCATCTTCATATCTCAGTGACAAAGTGTGAATCTGAGCGCACGCCGAGTTCCTCTCTCTTCCCACTGTAGAGTCAGCTGCAACGTGCCTGGGAAAAGATGACAGGGTGTTTAAGGGAGATGTAAAATCGCTCCACTGTGGTGGTTACCATCTAAATTGCAATGAGGGCTGATCTTATGGCCCATAAGACGGGCATCTCATCAACGCACACTAACTTGATTCATGCACCAGCCATACCGATTATCAATATTAATCACAATAATGTCGACAACAGTACTTTTGTTTTATTCTAATGGATGCCAATTTCAATAGCTATTACACACAACTACTGCACGTGACCACTTAATGGCTATCATACATGACTATTTCACACGATGTTATACATGAGTATTGCAGAGGATAATTTAATGGCTATTACATACGACTACTGCACATACCAACATAACCATTTCACTGCCAAATATCTTTCGGAGGAAATATTTGCAGGAAAACACCTGCGCTGGTTATGTTATATGCCTCCTTCTTGTTCGTTTGAACCATCCCCAAGGCGGTGGGTCAGCATTAGAGCCATAAAACAGTTCAAACTTTTCAAAAAAAAAAATCAATGGTGAGAGTTACAAAGGAGAAGAGCATCAGGTTTTTTTTAGCATGCTGACGGACACCGGATGGGCAAGCGAGAAAACATTTGTGCAGTTGGAAACAGAGAGATAAACCTCAATGGCTTCCTTATGCAGTGCTTCCCAGCCTGGGGTCCCCAGATGTTCTTGGACTAAAACTCCCAGAAGCCTTCACTACTCGCTGTGATGGCCAGGATTTCTGGGAGTTGTAGGCCAAGGACAGTTGGGGACCCCAGGTTGGGAAGGACTGTTAGTTCTTCTGAAATGAATGCTGTCGGTTTCCACCTGCACCGATTTCTTGTCCAATGGCACCATTGGCATCCAACTACGTAGAGCAAAGGAGAGAGAAAAAAGGACACCCCAAAAGCCTCCAAAGGGGAGAGAAAAAAATAGGCAGAATCTGTTCTAACAAAGGCGGGTTTGCTATAAAGGCCACATCCGTTGTGCCCATCAGACAGACCAAGAGGCAGGCAGGCAAAGACGTAAGGTCTCCTTGCTTGGTTGCACCTTGGTAGGGAGAGACAAGACCCCCACGGTTTCACACCGACTTAACCCAAGCCATAGGGAGCTTGACAAATCAGCTCAACTTAAAAGGCAGGGAAGTGGGGTGAGCCTCGTAAGACTTTTTAGGTTCCACAGGGCTATGGGCATCAAATTGGCCCCTAGCATCTGTACACTTCTCTTTTTGGGGTGGGGGGAAGGCTCAAAATGCCCCCTATGAGCCTTTTGGGGTGGTGGGAAGTTTTTTTGCCATGCCCTGCCCTCGTGAACCCGCACTCCTAAATTTGAGACATCTCAGTAACATCAACATCTGTATTGTTACAAGTTTTATAAGGGAAACTTTTGGGATCAAGGGAGCTTGCTTGTCCCCCCCCCCCCGACATTTGAGACATCTCAGTAACATCAAACATCTGTATCATTCCAAGTTTTATAAGGGAAACCTTTGGGATCAAGGGAGCTTCCTTGTCCCCCTCCGAGGTCTAACGATGGAGGCCAGTGGCCATGAACCCTCTGGAGGTCGCCCACTCATGGAATAAAACCCGTTATCTACTACTTACTGCTCCGTCTGTCTGCCAAAACTGTTCTCGTCCTGTTTCTTCCCTATAGTCAGAGGCAACAGACAATAATATTAATAATGATGTTTATGGGACCATTTAAAATAGGGCAATTCAACTAGGATGTTTAATTTTTGATCCATGCTGATAGCACGTCTATTTATGCAAACCTTCTTTATATAATCCTGGCTAATTGTGGACCACATGAACATTGTTTGTTTATATATTGCATATCTGATCATACTGTAAGCTTATATCTATCTGTGATATATAGCTGCCTTGAGTCCCTTTATGGGTAGAAAGAGGGCGTATCAATTATATACATGCATGCATGCACACTTATATAGTGTATAGCAATAGTATCCTATTGTCTTCTGATATGCTGCCCGTGTTGTGTTTCACACCAACGTGGAACCATTTATGATGGGACAGCAGCTTGCTTTCTCTGTGACCAAACTTGTATGGCTAATTTTGGGTCCCACCAGTAGTTTCCAACCTTGGGTCAACCCAGATGTTCATGGACTGCAACTCCCAGAAATCCTGGCCACCACGCCTAGTGGTGAAGGCTTCTGGGAATTGTAGTCCAAGAACATCTGGGGACCCGAAGTTGGGATCCATTGTGCTAGACACTGACTTGCTAAAACAAATAGCACCTTGAGAAGCGACTGATGGTAACGGAGCTACTCTAGTTGGTCTTAATATTGGTTTTCCTCTACGGTAGTCCCCTAACCCAGAGCAGAGTTTCAGATCTCAGTGTGTGGAAGAAACGACGATTGGAAGGTGAGGAGCAAGGAAGAGCCTTACCTTGACATTTCATGCACGTAGTCCCCTAACCCAGAGCAGAGTTTCGGATCTCAACGTGCGGAAGAAAGAAGCGAAGATTGGAAGGTGAGGAGCAGGGAAGAGCCTTACCTTGACATTTCATGCACATAGTGACAAGGGCCCCCAGAAACATCAACGAGAAGGCGCCCCAAATCAGCTCTGCCTGGCTCATTGCGTGATCTGACGCCAGCTTCAACCTTGGAAACACAAAAGCAATGTTAGAAAACACACAGAATGACCCCCCCCTACAAACCTTCAGGTAGCCCTAGACTGGCACAAATCTGGAGGATCTACACCCAATTTTCATCCTTCTTCCAGTTACAACATAGGTGCGAGGGTGGAGGGGTGAATGACCGGAAACGATCAGGATGACACTGAATAAATAATACAACAAACTTGGGTGTAAATCATTCAAGAGTTGTTATTGTTTGGTACAGTAGGACCACAATATCTCCAGGGGGATTGGTTCCAAGGCTCCCCCTCGCCCCTGTGGATGATTTTAAAAAAAACAACAGAATTATGGAATGCATGGTCTGGCTCTCTTTAATCGCCCATTCTGGATTTTAATTAGTATTGTCAGGCAGTGGATAGAGGAGGGTCCCACTGTATTCTATTTTCAGGTTGTGCTGGTTCTATGGATTGCCTGCAGAGAGCTGGTGTCTGGAGTGGCTGGAGGGAGGGAGGGAGGAAGGACTTAGATGTGGAGGATGGAGGTTGGCGAGAGGAATCTGAGAAGAAGGGGCCTGGGGTGATGTCCCCGAGGCACTTGAGCAGGCCTACAGCACTGAGCCAGAGGGTGAGTGGGATAACATAATTAAGGATCCTTGGACTGGGGTCCTGCTCAAATTATGGATGCCAAAAGGGGAAGGAGAGAGATGCCAACAGCCTATGCCTCTTCGTTCCCTGAGGTCTTGAAAACAAAAGCAGAGTCTGGGGCTGGGCTCCTGATCTGGATCGGGTGCCGGGGAACCAACGGCCACACAACAGCATCGCCAGAGGAGGAAAGCAGTAGAAACGATGCCAGCAAAGATGCCAACTACCCTGGTTCCCCGAAAAATAAGACCTAACCTGAAAATATGTCCTAGTATGCTTTTTCAGAATGCTCGTCATATAATCCCTACTCCCAAATTAAAGCCTCAGTTAAGTGAAACCCCCACCTCCACCCTTGTGCAGCAACCAGAAGAAGATGACATGACTGTAAAATAAAACACCCCCTGAAAATAAGCCCTAATGCCTTTTTTTGGAGCGAAAATTAATACAAGACCCTGTCTTGTTATCGGGGAAACAATGGTAGCCCCTCGATTGATGGTTCATGTGAAACACTTGGTTGTTGACTTGACTTTGTTGAAGCCTTCTAAGTTTTAATGGACTTTCTCTCTGTAAAAGCCGCCGTGTATTGAGTTAATGGATCGGGGAATAGAGGACGGGCTGTTCGTTGACCCATGCTGGGGCTTATGGGTGGAAATATGGAATCTCACTCAAAGGATGCTAAACTACCCACTCCGTGCTGTGCTTTGTTCAGTAACTAAAAGTCTTTTTTTTATTCAGGCAGGGATTTGAGAATCGACTGGTGTCAAAGGAAGGGGTCTTGAACAGGAGAGTACCTCGTCGAAAGTGGTCTTGAATCCTAAGCAAGGTGGGAGAGAAACCAACCCGTCAAACCAAGGCTCGTTCTCAAGTTTCGAATACGTTTTCCAGAAAACCAGAGTTGAAAGCCGGCGTGTAAGAGTTGCGTCCGTCGTTCCAGACCCCCTGTTGACCCCGGTGTCGCGGTTGACAAGGCTCTGCAACGTAGAGAGGAAATTCATTTGTGTCTCTACCCGGAGCGTCGCCTAAGACTCCACAGAACGGCGAAGATTTGTTAAAATAAAAGGAAAACGTTGACACCAGATGCTTCCTTAAAATATAAGCCTGTACCCAATTTAAAGGTCTGTTTGAAGAGTTTTTTCCCTCCTTATACTTGTGTATCTCCCATTTGAAGGGAAGCGTGCGAGCCACGCGGTGACAAATCACCAGCTAGCTGGAGATGATTGCTCTGTGACTCACTGTTCTGCCATGGAAAATCACTGCGGGGGTTATTTATTTATTTATTTATTTATTTTTATTTATATCCCGCCTATCTAGTCACTTAAGACCACACTAGGCAGTTACAGACACTCTTTAAATATCTAAGTTCACTTTGAAAGCCCCATCAGGGTCAGCCCATTGAATCCGTGGGGAAGGGGCGACTCACCGAATCCCCCACTAATTCAGTGGGTTTACTCTAGTGTAATTTGCTAGGCCAAGCAATAGGATTTCATCCACTGTTAGTCCTCTGTGTTGAGAAAAAAAATTGCTAAGGGAAAAATTAACATCATCTTAGGTAATAAAAGTGTCTGATGGTATGAGGTGTGTTTTTTTGCAGATTAGTAATTCAGGAGACAAGGCAAACTATTGATTGGAAAGCTAAAATAGCCACCTCTCTGGATTCGTGGTCATTGATTCAAGAACACAACAATAAACTTAAGCCATTAATCTTAATAATTGGTCTTGAAATCCTCTTAATGAGAGAAAGACACTTGGGGGGGAAATGATGAAAGACTCATCTGTTACTCACTGGTGTATCATGATTTAGTGTATAGGACTTAGGGAAAAATTAACTATTAAAAGATCAGCTTTGTGAGGAAGTGGCAATGGGCTGCAATTATATGAAACATTGTTCCTGGGCACAAATTCCTAAATTCTAATGGAAAATGATATTTTTTCCTACTTCTATCTCATGTTGTCTTATGGAAAGACCTGTTCAATTCATTATAAAGAATTGACATTCATTCCTCCATTTCCACATTCCTACCCTGATGGCATGGGTTTTGATAAAATACGATTAAATGTGATAAATATGGTAAAATATATCATTATATACACATTCAGTGTAGTGAATTTCTTGTGGGTGTTCTCTGTGCAGATAGTGAATAAAAAGGTATTTTAAAAATCTGAAATATTTTAAACAAAGATTTGATGACCAGCCGTTGGGTTTCCTGCTTTGGAAGGGGGTGGGGGTCAGAGTCAATGACCTTTAGGGTGCCCATCTGGCACCACCGTTCTGCGATTCTACATCGAAAGCTCATCCCACTGGAAACAGCGGCGCTTCTTAAATAAGCTGCCTCTGAAGTGTAAGCAAATATTTTGGACATGTTTGTGAGAGACAGTTGGATGTATTAAAGCCAATCATAGAGAAATTAAGTTGGAAGGAGCTTCTAGGGCCATCGACTCCAACCCCCTGCTCAAAGCAGGAACCCAAATCGAAACAGATCTAACCAATAGCTGTCCAGCATGGGAGCACTGAAGTCAATCCTTCCATTGTTGTACTGCTCTAACAGTTAAGAAGTTTTTCCTAATATTCAGCCGAAATTTGGCTTGCTGTAGCTTGAGCCCATTATGATGTGTCCTGCACTCTGGGATGATCGAGAACAGATCCTGCCCCTCTTCTGTAGGTCTACCTTTCAAGTATTTGAACAGTGCTATCCTATCTCCCCTCAGCCTTCTTTTCTCAAGGCTAAACATATCCAATTCTTTCGGCCCTTCCTCCCTGGACTCCGTTTTCAATCCCTTAATCTTTCTGGTGGCCCTCCTCTGACCATACTCCAAAGTATTGGCATTCTTCTTGAAGTATGGTGTCCTGAAACCTCATCTCGCTTCCCAAAACCAGCCGTAAGGGTTCCCGTGTATTATCAGGAACCAGCTTTCCTAGACTACAACTGACTTCATCAGATACACATAAAAGACAGTGTATTCTCATGGTTAGAATAATGGGCTGAAACTTGGGAGACCTGAGTTTTAATCTCTGCTGTGTGACCTCAGAGGAAAGCCATACCAGCCACTTTTGAGCTAACGGGAAGATATAAACCCAACCAAGCTGCTGTGCTCCAGAGAAGTCAAATAAAACTTGCTGGTCCTTAAAGAACCAAGCCTGTGAGGTGTGATGGACCAATTGATGGACTAGGACTAAGGAGACCCGAGTTCAAATCCCTACTCAGCCATGGGAAACAGGGAGGCAAAACCACTCCTTAAATATCTTACATACCTTGAAAGCTCTGTTAGGATCGCTATAAATCAGATGCAACTGGGCAAGTCTTTAGAGTTCCAGAAGACTTGACAACAAAGAAGTCCAAAGCTAGCTGGAACCTTGAACAGGAAGACATCGGTTACAGAGGGCGAGCATATTGCAACCACGTCCCAGTGAACTATCTAGAAAAACAAAACTATAGGGTAGACCCACTGAATCCATGGTAATCTGTCTAGTTGATGAGGATGGGTCTTCTGTTGAGTCCAGATTACCTCTTCTAGTTGGGCCTGAGAGCAGGACTGACGCTACGACGTTCAACATATTCCGCAGATGTAACCCATTGGTGGTGTTACTTTCTGGGTAGCTCCCCCCCATGCCCCTTTCAGTTTTCCACAGGAAAAGAATGAAAAAGTTTGAAAAGCCAAAAGTTAGCAAAGAGAACCTGCTGTCCACAGAGCAGTGCAGAAAAGCAAGTGTGCAAGACGTCCAAAACGAGTGTGTAAAGAGGTATTGAGAATTGGCATTACCTTCTTCAGAGGCGTCGTTTCACACAACAGCAGCAGACGCTGGTCGTTTCAACGCCGGCCATCTCTCCTGCTCATTCTTCTCACGGAAATCTCCCACCTCAGTGTGGTCACTTGCTCACCGAGGCAGCAAGCGGTCTTCTGGCTTCCTGTCGCTCTATGAGTCACTCTACGCCCTTTTTTGCCGTTTGGGTTCGGCCGGCAGCGAGGATGCCTCACGAACCACAAATGACGAGGAAGAGACGTGGATCTGAGAAACCAGGGGCTCGTCTTGACCCATCCCTAAGCAAAGCGGTTTCCTCCAACCTTCAATCCTGCAAATTCCTTCCAAGAAACACCCAGTTCCCTCACGCCAATTCAGCCTGTGGGTCTATCGAGTCTACTGCTGCCTACACAGACCAGCCGTTGTTCTCTCCGAGATGGACACTGTTCTTGAGAGATGGGTGCAATGTGAGATACCTAAAGGTAAACATGTGCTAGATGCAACACCCGGTTGATCTTCAACCATTCTCTGCACTTTGAAGTCTGTGGCTTCTGAATTTGGTGGACTAATTTTCTCCTCATCTCTTCTGTAAGGAGGTGGTCCACCCGTTGTCACAGGCTTGAACCCCCAATAAAGCCAAGGGTCTCTGGCTTCCATTGCACCCTTCCCACAAAATAATCTTGAGTCTTACCATCGTAGAAAAGTTTGCTCACTTACATGTACTTTGTTATTCTATTTACCATTTCTATCGATTGGTGGTCAGAAGGAACAGGTTAGGAGAAACACGAGAGGACAGGATCTGATCTGCATCAGCCGTTCCCAGATGTTCTTGGACTACAACTCCCAGAAATCCTGGCCAGCACAGCTCGTGGGGAAGGCTTCTGGGAGTTCTAGTCCGAGAACATCTGAGGACCCAACGTTGGGAACCACTGCCCGCCATGGTTGTGTAAAGGTAATAGTACAAAGCAGCCCTGAAATTAAAAGACGCCTTCTTCTTGGGAGGAAAGCGATGACAAATCTTGACAGCATCTTGAAAAGCAGAGACATCACCTTGCCGACAAAAGTCCGAATAGTCAAAGATATGGTTTTTCCTGTCGTGATGTATGGAAGTGAGAGCTGGACCATAAAGAAAGCAGACCGCCGAAGAATTGATGCCTTTGAATTGTGGTGCTGGAGGAGACTCTTGAGAATCCCCTGGACTGCAAGGAGAACAAACCTATCAGTTCTAAAGGAAATCAACCCTGAGTGCTCACTGGAAGGACAGATCTTGAAGCTGAGGCTCCAGTACTTTGGCCATCTCATGAGAAGAAAAGAGTCCTTGGAAAAAACCTTGATGTTAGGAAGATGTGATGGCAAGAGGAGAAGGGGACGACCGAGGATGAGATGGCTGGACAGTGTCGGCGAAGCAACCAACATGAACCTGACACAACTCCGGGAGGCAGTAGAAGACAGAAGGGCCTGGCGTGCTCTGGTCCATGGGGTCACGAAGAGTCGGACACGACTAAACGACTAAACACACAAACACACACAACGAACACACACACACACCACAAATCCTCTGCATTCCATCCAACACTTGGGGAGTTAAGTTTTGAACCCAAAATGCCCAGAAATATGAATTAAGAGAAAAGATAAAAACAGCGGAATCTCCCGATATCTAGGGTTTTCCTCTGCCACATGTCAACCCATGGGAGGGCTCAGACTGAAGTTACCACATGCTATATACTCCTTTTCAGCAGCTCTGTCAGTTAGTTTGTGTTGGGATACAGCAAAAAGAAAGACCTTTCGTTATTAGCTAGGATTCATGATCTAAAATCTTGTTCTTCCTCTAGCTTAGGCTTGCGCGTGTGTGGATAAACGCCTGCATTCCTTTATGGGCTTTTGCTGCTTAGGTCAGACGTAAGTCTCCTCGGGTCTGTCCTCCTGTCCCTCATCTTCCTTTCTCTGTGCTCGAGCAAAACCCACTGCCCGCTGGCCTTTACACATAACTGTTAGAAGAGTGCCTGTGAGCAGAACTAAAATACCGTATTTTTCGCTCTATAAGACTCACCTTTCCATAAGACGCACCGATTTTTTAGGAGAAGAAAACAGGAAAATATAATCTGTTTTCTTCGCTCCATAAGATGCAGAGACTTTCCACCCCCCTGTTTTGTGGGAAAAAAGTGAGTCTTATGGTGCAAAAAATACAGTACTTCTATCATATTCCTGAAACTGGTGACACTGGGCAGCATCTCCCATTCCAGATCATCTTTATTTGCATTTCCCCCCATTTGCTGGAGCGGTGACTTTCATTATGAAACACAGAAATACATTTGGGTAGCAGAAAGGGCACAGAGTAAATCAGGCACCTATCTGTGTGCCCTTAGTTAGGCAGGGACCAGATTGTGTGGGTGATGGCACCCCATGAGACATCAGACTGAACAGATCAAGTTTGCTCCCGGATCAGTTTCTTCTCAGGAGTTGTTATGCCTTCTTCGTTATTCACAGCGACAGCCTTGCGGGGTAGGCCCACCCAGATGAACACAGCTAGCCCAACATAACACAGCAAGCTTTCGTGTCGCAAGAAACAGGACAATTTCTGAGAAACCGTGTGATCTTGAGAGCGTTTGGCAGGTGGGAAAAGAATTCTGTAGCTAGGAGTAATTACATATTTCCGTGCTGTTGCCACTTTCTGAGTAACAGACTCTCAAAACAATGTCAACACAAGCAGACTTCTGCCCCAAATTCTAGAATTTTGCATCTCTTCTGATTTCACCTTTGAAACCAATAATTTTGAAGCCTGAAGCTGCCTCTATGGCTTCCTTGATTTCCTGTGTTCAAAGGAGAGAAGAGCAGAGGTACTTTTGTTGCTAAAATAGCACCATCTGACGGCAATGCTGGGGAACTCCTAGGGAGGACATGCTCAGTCGCCAGGCAGCACCGCCTGCCGCGGAAGGGGAAGTGCAGAATATGAAGCAGAACATGGAACGGCATCTCCATCAAGAGGACATGGCTGGCTGCCATATTACACAGCATTTGTCTACACTGCATGACCGGTACCACTTGCTAGCGTTTCAAGTTCAGCACTTGATCATGTCATGATCAAGACCACCCTAGAAATATTCTGAACAAAGATTAAGAATCTGAAGTTGTGTGAGGAAGTACAGGATCGTTATAAAAAGCTTCTGGTTGCTAAATCTAGCCCGTGCTGTTGTGACCACACACAAAAAAGGAATTTCCGCACAGATCACCCTTAAATATTACTTAACGTTTTCTTTATTTAAAAGATCATTCACAAAATACCATATCCATAAATTTACTTTTGTCATGAAGCAGAATGTGTTAAAGTGTTTCGGAAACTTCTCTTTACACATTTAAAAATCAAATGAATTGGCCGGAAAAGGGGGGGGGGTCTTGCGCGGGAAAAGACTCGGGGTGTTTGCTCTTAAAAATCTTGGTTCTTCCAAATTTATGCGTGGAAAAAAGAGGTTCTTGGGTGGTTTTTTCATTGGGAACACAACCACACGGACACACAATGCATGTCTCAAAAGAAAACTAATGTCAGACAAATGGTACTTATTCTCGAAAACAAGACTGAAAGACTGGGGAGTAGAGGGAGGAGAGAGAGAGAGAGAGAGAGAAAGGCTCACTCTGGTTAAGACTGCTCACCAGTCACACCCAAGATAATTTTTACAACTGGCTGTCTAAACTGACGTTGCCTTTGGGGTAGGCAATGTCTTTGAACTGGGGCATTGTTTCACAAACACTGGATATATTTTTCAAAGGGAGAAAAAGAAATCTGTGTGTGTCATTTACTGCTCCACTTTTTTTATATAATGGATGTCAGGCACTATGCATGCTTATACACCGGGCAAACTGAGCCACGAAAATTATATATAGCCCAGAGACGTTAAGGGGAACCATCACCACTACCCCTTTTACAGTCATGTAACGATTCAGTGTTCCTTTCCCACAAATCACTCACGTCATCAAACCAAATCTCTTTCAGCAGAAATTTCTCAGGGATAAGGAGGCGAAGGGCGCTGCTGTCTATTAATAAAGGCAATTAAACCAGGCCGAAGACACCAAGCCGGGCGAAGAGACAGCTTAGCCCTCTTGCATCTCCGTCTGAAAGGTTAAACTGTAAAAGCAAAAGCAACACAGAGGCAAAACCAAAGGCCGGGAAGTAGAAAAGTTATCGACAGCCTTTCCTTCAAAGCAAACCCTCTCCCCCCCAACCCCGCTCCCTTCCAAGAGGAGGAGGCAAAACCTTTTAATGGCTCCAGAAGATAGCTTAAAAGCTGTTAGCAAACATGTAAAAAAAGAAAAACAAAACAAAACCACTGGGGGGGAGAGAGAGAGTGTACAGGGTGCTACAGGAGGCACAAATTTATATAGCACCGACCAGTGAGCGCCAGTGAGGATGATGGAGACCAAGACATGAAAAGGCAGAGGACCAAATCTGCCATTCTCAGGTTAAGGGCCTAAACGTGGAACCTGAGCTTCAGAGAGAAGCCTGGGTGGTACCACGGCCACCGAGGCAGGCGCCTTCCCCTTGCTCTCGTGGCTGTTTTACACCTCCTTTTGCTACCCGAGGTGGGGAGAAAAAACTGATTAAATATATTCCAACATGCCTGATGGCTAAAAGGTGGTAGCACTAGTCAACTCTTATGTCACGTAACCTAGATCTAAAGGGACTGCACTCTACGATTCAAAGATGTCCTTGGCGGGGCTGGGGCTTCCCCCCCCCCCAAGTTCAGGGGCCAACGGAGAAAGGGATAGGAGGCGGACAGAGAAACGCCGCAGACACTGGGAGGGAGTCCCGTGGAGCAGGGCGGAAATTTAAACCGTGGGCAAGGGGAGGAAGAAAGACGGGAAGGAAAAAAAAGAAAAGGAGGAGGCAGCCCCCGCGGGTGAAAGAACGCCACGTCCATGGAGGAGAGCAGCGGTTTATTGGCCGGAGCCTACGTATGGGCTGCGGGCGTCGGGGTGGGGGGGAGAAACAGAAGACAATGCAGGCACTAGATACAGCGAAGCCAAGAACATACTAAAAACCACTTGTTAACAGCTGACATGCATTCACAAGCTCTGGTTTGCTTTTTTGTTTCCATTTTGGTTTTGAGGAGGATGATGTGCCAAGGTGGTAGCAACGGTGGCCGCAGGGTTCACGTTCTGACCATAGTTAGACGCTCTGGGCGGTCTTTGCAGTTTTTTCTCCCCCCC